CACTCCCCCATCACCTACCCGCAGGGACCCCCTACCCCCACAGCCCTAGCACACAACTTCGACACCATGTCCTTGCGGGAACCTACTTGGCTTTTGGACACCGGGGCTTCTCACCATATTGCATCCGACCCAGGTATTATTTCTCATGTCTCTTCTCATTCATTACATTCACCTATTCATATCACTGTTGGTAACGGATCTAGAGTTAGCACTACGGCTGTTGGTAACCATTTTTTCCCCACAAACCCCCCTTTATCCCTTAAAAATGTCCTTATCTCCCCCCATATCATACACAACCTTATATCTGTCCGTAAATTTACCCGTGACAATAACCGCTCTATTGAATTTGATGCTCATGGTTTTTCTGTGAAGGACCGTTAGACGGGAACCGTGATACATCGATCCAATAATGCCGGCCCGCTTTATCCCCTTCGCCCCACTGCACGAGCCCAAGCACTCAGCGCGTCTGTGGACGTTCAAACATGGCACCGACGCCTGGGTCATCCTAGTCCAGCAGTCCTCCGTGGAGTCTCGAGTCTTTCTAATTTATTTAAATTTTCGAGTCAAAGTCTTTGTCATGCGTGTTAATTGGGAAAACATGTTCGTTTCCCATTTTATCAGTCCTGTCGTGTCTCTACTTTTCCATTTGAATTATTACATACAGATTTATGGCAATCTCCCGTTCCAAGTGTTACTGGTTTTAAGCATTACATGTTATTGTTGAATGATTATTCGCATTATTTATGGGTGTTTCCTTTAAAACAAATATCTGATGCCTTTAATCATCTTACCTTTTTTGTTAAATATGTTCAAAACCATTTTAACACTACTATTAAATCTGTTCAATGTGACAACGGCACAGAATACCGCAACTCTCCCCTCCAAAATATTTTTGCCTCCTTGGGTATCTTATTCCGCTTCTCGTGTCCCCACACTAGCCAGCAAAATGGCCGGGCCGAGCACACCATTCGCACCATAAACAACACCATTCGTACCCTGTTATTTCAAGCTCACCTACCGCCCGAATTTTGGGTTGAAGCCTTGCATATGGCAGCCCACCTCTTTAACCTCCTCCCAACCACCACACTCCACAATCAAACACCATACACCCTCCTCTTTAAACATCCACCCACTTACTCCCACCTCTGTGTTTTCGGCTGCCTATGCTACCCAAACACCACCGCCACTGCTGCACACAAACTAGCCCCACGCTCGGCTCGGTGCATTTTCCTCGGCTACCCCTCCAATCAACGCGGATTCCGTTGTCTCGATCTCCAAACAAACAAAATCATTGTCTCCCGTCATGTTGTGTTTGATGAGTCGTCATTCCCTTTTTCCCAAGCTTCCACTCCCGATGATCTTAGTTTCCTGGACACCACGGAGGACGACCTACCCCACCACCCCA